TGCTTGAATGCTGCTGCCTGAACAAGAGACCTCCTTAAGTGAAAGTGTTGGCTGGTGTCACTATCTCGCGAACGCAGCGGCGGATCTCCACCAAATTTGGGGGATCCCTTCAGCTCGAGAAGCCCTCTCGAACACCACCCTCCGCGCGTCGATAGCCCCCCGGGATCGCCAGATCGGTCGGCGCCCGACCGCGAATTTAACCGCCCGTAACTCCCAGACCCCAGGGGCTATCGACACGTGGGCTCATTCGAAAGGGGGCCTCGAGACGTACACTCGATTCGGCGTTCGAGAGGGTTCCTCGAGCTGAAGGGATCCCCCGAATTTGGTGCGGATCTGCCACACCGTTACGGAGATATGGCCATTCAAAGTTTCAATGGTATTCCATACACTTAAGCTTTACAGCGTTTCATCCAGGTCGCCAGTAGCAAACAATGGAGCACGCTCTGCTGGACAAACTATATAATTACACCATTTACAAGCATTTTATCTGCGTTTAATGTAGGGCTGCCACTAACGACTATTTTTATTTCGATTAATCATTCGACTAATTTATCGATGAATCAGTTAATCTAAACTATTAATTTCCCACAAAAAAAATCGACAATTTTAAAGTACATTTTATGAAACAAGCCATTGGAGAAATGTGAAACTAAAAGAGTAAAAATGTAAACAAACCTAATAAAAATGAAATAAAAAGAAAATAATTCCAAAAGTACATGTTCTGGGCTTCTGTTCATTACAGCTGTGAGTGCAACTACAAAGGGGGGACAAATATGTTTCAATTAACCCCAACAGTTGGGTTTTGACATTAAATAAATGCAATGTTTAGAGTCCACTAGAATCAAGTATTAAAATTTTATTATTAAAAGTTATTATTATTAAAAATTTTAAGTATTAAAAGTACTCTTAGAAATGTGTAAACAACAGATTTAAACAGACATCTCCAGCATGATGAAAAAGATGAACAGAGGACTTCGGTAATGAAACTCCAAATGAAATCCAAATTTCAATGAAATCCTTTTTTTAAAGCAAAAGTAAAGTGCGACATAGAGTGCAAGAAGCAAGTGTCCATCTCATAGTCCAAATCACTGAAATCAAAGTTCAGTATTATAGTGTAAGAATGACAACATATCCACATGTTCTAGTCTACTAATAATAAAATATTATAATTAATAATACATTTTTGTGGTAATAAAAATAGATGTAGGTTAAGTGAACAATAGCCTTTAAATTTACTTAAAATACATATATAATAGCAATGATGCAATAATAATTAGTTAAAATAAAGTAACAAAAACAAGAAATCATGGTTTTATTGAACAAAACTGTTAAAATACTGTATTATAATGTAATAGAGCCACTGATCGATCAGTGAATAGAGCTAATGTACAGTACGCATTACAACAAAGGCCTGCAGGGGGCGCCAACGGCCTGACGATTGTTTTACACACTACTGTGCGATCTAATACTTGTTTAATATTTTCTAAACATCATTTAATTCAAATGTCCACTTAATCTTTAATATTTGGCCATTTCTTTACGACATATATGCTATAGCCTCTGTAATTTAATGAATATGTGGAGATCAAAACGTGTAAACTCAAGAGTGAGGGTTTGAGCTTTTATTTTGAAACCGTGAGATAATGATGTATTCTCCTGTGTTTGCGTGGATTTATAAATGATTTACCTTACAAATCTGATAGATATTTCATTAGAATTTGCTATGTAATCAGAGCTTTTAGATTTATTTATCAGGCATTTAAATGTGCAGCATAAATATACTGGGGTTATTGTTCAAGTTGTGAAAGGATTAAATAAGCTGTTTTTTAAAAGGAAAATGTTTGTGTTTGTGTTAAAGTGTGTTAAGGACAGCTGAGTTACACCCCTTAATGTGCATCTCTGAGTTTGTGTGTGTGCAGCAGGATTAAGGTCACTGCGATCACACCTCCTGCTTGTGGCATGATGTAAAGGGCAGAATGATTACACCCTTAGAGCAAGCCTGCGTGTGTTGTGCGCTAAGGTCAGTGTGATCACACTCCCGATCCAGAGATGTTGTGCTGAGTTGTTATGACTTCCCCCTAAAGCTTTTGTGTATTTTTAGCAGCCATGACAATATAGGGCTTAGAGGCAGAACTGTGTGTGTTAGTGGAAGCATTATGCAGCAGTAATTAATTAGTAATGGAGCTGACCTAGATGAGACCGTTGAGCTGTTGAAGATATTTACATTAGGATTTGAGCGTGTTCAGGTGAGAGACAGAGAGCGGGACTTTTGAAAGGACACTCAAGTCAAAGTGGACACAGGAAATGTCTCATCCTTTTTATGTAAGAGCGGTCACACTCAATGACACTCATGAAACTGAGCGAGTGGAACTGAAAGCTCAGGGAGGAGAAGTCTCTCTCTCTCTCTCTCTCTCTCTCTCTCTCTCTCTCTCTCGCTCTCTCTCTCACACACACACACACTAGTGTGTGTGCCGTTTGCAGCATACCTGCAGCACTCTGACTGGTGTGAACTAGCTCGTGTGTGTCTAATGGCTTGTTACAGCTCAGAGTGTCATATGACTTATGTTACTTTGACAGCCCATGATTCATAAATGTGTTAAGTCAGAGCTTTTTAAAGTTCGTCAGACTAATGCTCGTCTATCCTGGGATGAACAATGGTTTCTGAAGACATTACGAGTGATCCTAGGATGTTTGTTGTTTGGTACTTTGGGATTTGCTTACTGGGTTAGGCAAAGGCCCCACCTTAAGGTCTTTAGATATGCCTCGAATCCAGTATAAAATGGGATTTTTTTTCCACCTGGCAAACTCTGGTCTATAAAACCCCAAAGTCTTGTTGCTGCGTGTTGGCAGTTGCTTGGTCGCTAGTAGTAATTTCTAGTTCTGGGTGCTCTAGTAATGCTTTTTCAATCATCAAGTCATGTGATTTGAGGGATCATGTAACATGAAACATGCGTGAAATGGGTCTGGACCAGATATGAAATGCAAATACACACGTACACATGTATGTCCACAGTGGAAAGACGTTTTGCCACAGCTGTTGTGATGGCATAACAAATTGTGACATTCTGTGATATTCTTAAAAATAATGTTTTAATGAACTGTTATTATTATTGTTATGATACTTTGAGGAGTAATGTTACACAGCAAAACCACCAGTGTCAATTTAACACTGTGAGAGTTAATTTCAACACTATCCTGGTGTTTATATAATTTTTCACTGCCCAGTGTTAAATTAACATTTTAAAAGTTTTAACAAATTAACACTGCCTCAGAGTTCAACATTTAACCCTAACGGCATGGAGTTAATCCAACATCTCTTATCAGTGTTAATCTAACTCTGGGCAATTCCACCGTTACGGACGTGACATTTGCAGTCAAAACCTGAAATATAAATTCTCATAAATTATATTTATTTCCAATATATTAAACCATCTCTTTATATTTTTCCAGAGTCCAGACATCAGAAAAGTATCAGTCTATAAGCCCGTTTTATATTTTAAATGAGGGAAAAACACATGCGTTACGGACGTGACAAAAAAAGACACGAGTTTCTGGGAGACATATTTTGTAGACTTTCTGCGATTTACAATGCACAAACCAGAAGCAACAATATCTGCTTCTGGAGAAGGGTTGGCTATTTACAAAGCATAAAATATCAATTTTGTTTAAATTTTAATTTTTGTGTTTCACAGGAAAAATCTATGTTACGGACGTGACATCTCTCCGTTACGGACCTGACCGTTCTATAAGCGGAATTTATCTGACTATGAAAACGCTTATAAAATGCTTTAAAAACTTTAACAGAGACGTCTAGTGGGTATTCAATAGGGCTGCCCCCCACTAAAGATTTTTCTAGTTAACTAGTTGTTTGTTTAAGCCATTAGGCTATTTATATTAAATCAATAGGCCTTGTAATCCATAATGAGCTTCAATATATTCCACTCTCAAGCACACGTATAAAGTTTGCCACAAAGCACAGGCAAAAGTAGCCTAATGATTATTAATGTATAGATAAAGGAGACATTTTAATTATTTATTAATAAACTAATGTTTTCTTGTCGGCTGCAAGATGGAATTCACAGTGCTGACTCTCATCTCCACAGTAGCCTGTCTGGACTCGCCTTTAGAGAGAAATGCAACCTTCATACATAATATGGGGAGTATTTATGCGGTGCGGTGAGATGGCGCCGACGATGATGGTTGCCTCCGTGGCGTGCTCCGCAGTTGTTTTTATGTTTTTGTTAGTTTGTCCTGTCTTTAGTTATATCCCTGCAATCAGTTTCACCAGAGACGAATTGCTGGACATTCGGCAGTACACACCACCCGATATTTCACCGGTTTTCGATTATTATACCTGGCAATAAAGCTCATTCTGATTCTGATTAACTTCGTTTTTAATTGGTTCGTTTAAAAGTAGACATTTCAGCCTTTCTATAGATATATTTCTCTATGTGAAACACACATGCTGAGTTTTGGTTCTTTTTGGAGACGTGCTCCAGCTCACAGAGAATGAGACTGCAGAAACGCATCCTGTTTGTTTTCATTATTTTACAAAAGCACAACATTTTGTTGTTATTATGAATTTACATAAAATAAGTTTCAAATTGATTTTAAGTTGTTTCATTATTAGGAAAAAAATGCAAGTGATCGTGCGGGCGCCTCCCTTTCATGCATGCGCATTAATATTCCGCACAAACACTTGAACACGGGCCAAAAATAGCACATTTATAGCCTGTAGGTTAACGCTAGAGTTTGGAATCCACATTAAAATAAATCCTCACCAGTCTACATCCGAGACAGGTGCAGTTATAACCTATAAATTAAAGGCTATTTGACGTTTTAAAATGATCTAACTGATCAACGCCACTCCAATTCGTTGATCATAGTTGTTGATCAAGATTAAACGGATGCCACTGAAAAAAATGTTTTAATGACTTGCTTATGCATTAAATAACTAAGATACAAAACAGGTTAAGTAAAATATTCTAAATGTATAATAGGCCTAGTGTACAAATATTTATAAAATAGACTGCGAAGATTCACGGTTTGCATCTGCATAACAAAGTGAATTATTTTACTATGATATGAAATTAAACCATACAAGATGTGTAATGAAAAAAATAATATTTAGACAAAAATAAATAAATGATAACCCCACAGCATGCACGCCAAACACGCAAAATCTTGCACTCTGCATGCATTCAGCGCAGATAGCGACAAGAGTTATTTGAAACATAAAATGTAAAACAAGATAATACTGACAATGAACAACATTTAAAATAGTTTTGGCGAGCTGTCATGCAGTCCACCTGTGCATGCTTAGGTTATCTCCGCTCAGCTCTCGCTGAGCGATTTCTAAAATGTTATGATAAGGTAAGCCTGACACAGCAGTAGACCTTTATCAGTCATCAGCAACGAGGCAAACATGTGCGCCGGTATGCTTTAATATGAAGCATCCGTAGACTACAATAGATTTACAATGCACAAACCAGAAGCAACAATATCTACCGAATGGAGAAGGGTTGGCAATTCACAAAGCATAAAATATAAATTTTATTTCAATTTTATTTTTTGTGTTTCAGAGGAAAAATCATACGGATGTGACAGTACTGAAAGCGGAATTTATATGACTATGGAAATGCAAAAGTTTAACAGAGATAGAGGGTATTTAATAGGGCTGCCCCCCACTAAAGATTTTTTCCAGTTACTAGTAGTCATTCATTTAAGCTATTGCTAATCGCACGTTTATATTAAATTAACATAATACTCCATAATGAGCATATTCCACGCTCAAGTAGGCAAAATAGATACAGTTATAACCTGCAAATTGAAGGCTATTTGACGTTTTAAAATGATCTAATAACGGGCCGATGCTGCTCCAATTCGTTGATGTTGTTGATCAAGATTAAACTGTCGCAGTCATAAACTTGTTTTAATGACTCTCATAAACTTGTTTTAATAAATCGCTTATGCATTAAATAATAAAGATACAAAACAGGTTAAGTTAAATATGCTGAATATATATTGTACAAATATTTATAAAATGCTAGACTGCGAATAAGATTACAGTTTCACATTTTGCATCTGCATAACATAGTGACTTATTTTTAACATGTAGTGATACCAAATAAAACCAAACAAGATTTGTAATTAAGAAAAAATATTTAGACAAATAAGAGTGAATGATGTTACTCCACAGTACATCTCTTGCGCATCTCACTCAGCAGCATGCACACCGAACACGCAAAAGCTTGCTCTCTGCATGAATGCAGCGCAGATAGCGACATAAGTTATTTGAAACACTTAAAGAAGATAATATTGACAATGAACATTGACATTTGAAAAAGTTTTGGCGATTTGTCCTGCACAGTCCGTCTGTGCATTTCTGACCCGCACAGCAAATGCAGCCTTAGCTAAACCTCCACGATGTTCTCGTTGACGTTGAGAATGCAATTTCTAAAATGTTAGAATGAATTAATTTCTAAAATGTTATGATACGGAAAGCCTGAAACAGATTACAGCAGTATAGACCTACACGGTAGGCTATCAGTCATCAGCAATGCGTGGTAAACATGCGTGCCTGTATGCATACAATTTAATATGAAGCGTCCGTAACGGTCACGTCCGTAATGCATTATATGGTTGATAAGAGCAAAGAATAGAGATGAGCTGTTGATCATAATTGGCATGGCCATAAGTTGGCTTTGTACAGAAAGTTTCAAGTTAATTGCATTAATAATTACTATATGATATAAACTTCATCTTTAAAACGTTACGGACGTGACACAGCGCTGAAGTGTCCTGACATCATATATCTAGCCTATATAAATCCAAAAATCATTGCTGTTTAGACAAAGTGAGTTTATTAATTTTTCAGAAAGGCCTCCATCTTTCTACAAAATGCTTACTTTTGACATAAATGAAAAAATGGGCAGCCTTTGATCTCTCATTTGAAAACATGACATACAGTCGAATGAAAATGTAATTTTTAGGGATGCACCGATACCGATACGGGCCCGATACTGAGCTCCTGTACTCGTACTCGTACTCGTTAAAATGCCCCGATACCAAACACCGATACCACACAGCATGTGATAAGCGCCATATTCAGACAAAGAAACACCAACAACAGACAGCAGAATGGAGTTAAGGATGTCTACTACGAAGTATATGTATGCAATGAATATAACGTTAAACATTCAGTATTAAATTTGATAAATGAAGCTAACCAACTAACATTATACATACAATTTTGGTTTCTGTATCCAATATTTAAAAAATGTACAAATGCAATAAAAATATTGGTATCGGTACTCGGTATCGGCAAGTACCAAAAATAAAAGTATCGGTATCGGGCGAGTACTGGAAAAAGTGGTATCGGTGCATCCCTAGTAATTTTACTATGGGTGCACCCCTCATATGTGGTGGATAAACGGTGATTTCCTTCAAATTTCTATTAAAGCACGTTAATGCAGTAAAATACAGACCTAAACGCACAACTTAAATAGGGTTTTGTTCTTTTTGTAAAAACTTTATTTTTTTCATGGTAAGGTTGACATTTGCATGGAATTGCTGCTCTTCAGAGTAAAAGAACACTACCTTAGATTTAAATAATTAACAATATTAATTTGATAACTCCTAAAAGCATTAATATAACTCTTAACTGATCAGGTAAAAGGAATTAAGGAGTAACAGAACAGTTACTTTTAGAATAACTATTTGTAAAAAATAAACC